AATCCGTTATAAACTGATCGCATGTTTGCATCCTAACCTCCAACTGTAACCCTACCCTTAGCCCTAAACCCTAACCTAACCCTTAACCCTAACCCCTAACCTTAACCCAAACTTCAACCTCTAGCCTTAACCCTAACCCTAGGCTACAACCCTAACCACTAACCCTATGGACGAGTTTCTCTACCAAATGTATTATGAATTCAGAACCTCTGAACCTTTATCAAAACTTAACAAGTTTTTAAATCATGTAAAAGAAGAATATCCGCTGTAATTCATTAATAACTTACAATCTATTTTCACTTTATACTAACTGTCTTCTGATTGGCTAATAGTTTCTGAAGAAATTCTGATACTATACTCAAAGATTTGATAGCTACGTGTGCTAAGTGCAGTGAAGGTATGAAAATTCAGCCTATAAAACTTCAAGTACAGGGTGATCCCGTCTTTCTTAAAAGACGAATAATAATAATAATAATTCATTTCACCTTTGTGATTCCTTGTTGAAACACTTTTCATATTTACACGAGAATAGGAATCAGTGTTTGACTGGCCCTGAGATTGAATTTCATCACGACGACTAAGTAAAATATTAAAAATCTTCATCGACTGGATATCAACTTCATTAACTGCCTCCTATTTAATACACGCAGTTCTAGCATCTTGAAAGGAACAGTTCGGCATTCTTAACAGCTCTCTTTCCAAACCCGGTATGTTAATTCCTGAAATCAACCAATCTCTCATTTGCACATGAAGCTGATCACCAAAATTACAATTGGCAGCCTGTTTCTGCAGTTCAAAGATGAATTCTCTAACCTTTTGGCCATTTTGACCAATCATCTTATGAAATTTCGCCCTTTCACGGCATTCAAAACTAGTGCACTTTACATGATTTAATAATGATTCTTTAAGAGTTGCATAAGGGAGTGAGATAGGTTTTTCTGGATATCCCGGGCTTCCAATTTTGGGGAAATTTTGAGATCCAGATTCAGATTTGTGTAGTAAGGACAGAAGGCCTACGGCTTATGTTATTCCTTTTCTAGTATGCTTCTGTGAGTGTCCAGACTTCTCTTGAAAGTGTCAATTGAAGATGCGGACACCATTGCTTCAGGCAGCAGGTTCGAATAACCAGTAGCGACACTGATCGACAGTGATAATTAAACTGTAGAGCAGAAACTCACGAGCATTCACTGAGCTATAAAGAGTCTATGTAACAATGGCTTTATTCAGTATCATAGGTTTAGTGCAGCACGAAATTATTAGCATACGATATTTCAACAAGCTTCTCTTTCTCTTCTTATGTCGTGCAAAAATATACCTGCACATGTCATATTAGATAGAACTAAATGAGATATTCTTTAGAAATAAGAATCTTTAGCAACATGTTCAAGAATATAAGTTTTTGTTTAGGTTCGCTTTTATAACCTGTTTGTCACACAGTTACTGTGCCAGATAATTGTACGATATTGTACTTTTGCTTGCAAGTATTTATTCGGATGTATCTGCCTCGGTCTAACGGAAGATATACAAGGAGAAGGATGTGACCAAAACCCACTTGCCAGTAATTTGCAAGATTTCAAATATCTATCCACAACCATATTCATAATGATGCCGAAAGATTTATCACATAGCTTGCTAACTGTTTCCAACAAATCGTAGTAAATGTCGAGTAGTACCAAGAACAAGTCAGACGAAAATCTTTGATAATGACACTTATAAAATAATGCTGTCACAGTTCTGTGGCAGTCAAAATAACTGTAAGATTGCCTAGGCATATACCCTACCGCTTTATATGATCACTAGCTTTTGAATGGAGCAATACATATATAAACAGAAAACAAAATATAACATCATTTGAACATGGTGATTATCAATAAGGAGATTGGCAAATGGGTAAGGTAGCCCAGGTTCCTATACAATATCGGCATTACTAGATGACATTGACAAGGTGAATTGTGAAAGAGTAAAAATAATAGTAGTAATAATCATAGTAAAATGACTGAGCATTCAAAGTATACTTTTTGAGTAAGGAAAGGAACACTAAATATGTATGAAAAAACAACTGAAACTTAAAATTTAGGGAAGATCAAGTAAATGCACCAGTGGTCAACTTTGACTCATGAAACGTAGAGTATCTAACCACTGGTAGTGTTTGTTGTGCAGGTTAAGATCATGTAATCTATATCTATAAACATGACTAACACCAACAATATTCTCACGCTCACTTAACCACCGTCTACTTCGACGACAGATGCTCCATGATATAGAAGTAGACTGGAAAGAAGCTAGGGCCACCTAATCCAAAATCTGGCATCAGTTCATCTAGCCACAAAATGTTGGGCTAAGCGATATAGTTAGAAGCAGACTACCTAGCTGGGCATCATACAACAACTGTGGCCAGTGGCTGAAGACTTTGAGTCATACGGATAGAAATCATTCACGATGGAGCAGTCGAACTCTTTATCTTCCTTTTGATCTTGAATCCCAATATCCCATCGTGCACGCAATTCTAGCCTGACTTCGCCAACCATACTCAAACGATTTAGTCGTTCTTCTTCTCACTGCTACATTATTTCAATCTCTTGCATTATTTTCATTGAGTTGAGCTAATCAGATATGGCAAATTGGACTAAAATACATTTGTCAGGCCCTCTGTTGGTGTATATGTCCGTTCAAACTACTTCAATCGGTGAAAATTGACAGCTATAACTGGTCTAGTACTTTCGCCTTTAAGAGGGTGTTGAACTCGGGGGTCCTAACACATGTAGATAATGCTTTGAAGATAACCACGATCAAAAGCTTACACCATACACACGTCTTCCACTTCCATAGGTTGTTTCACAGCTATAGACAAACGAAAGGCTACTTGAACACAATTTTGCATCTGATTATTTCCGAGGAGAAATTTTGAATGGTCTACAAGCTGAAACTTTAAGTCATGGGGATTTTTGCAAATATAATTTGATATCCAATATTTTAAACTGTATGCGAATTAAATGAAACTTTCATTCTAATAAATTTTATCCATGAAAAGATATGAACAATGTTCACCCTGAATGTGTTCTTATTCAGGAATCCCGAAAATAAAGAATTCACTTTCTTAAAAATATAGTTTAAAAGATATTACAAATACACAGAATTGACTTACAACTCCTCAGCCTTTCGGATTATATCCAAATCCTTAGCAAAAATATCAGCAATGATATGAGATACAGCATCTTCGAGGGCCGTTTTCGATGTAAAAGTCTCTATAATAGAAAAACAGAACATAAGATTCAATATTGATATGTTCATTTCACTTATGCAGGAAAATACATTTCAAGAGTGAGAAGAATAGTTACGTAAGACCATTTTGAACGTGGAGGAAATATGCTATGCCAGTTTTGTAATGAAATTTTGGAACAGCATTTTGTAGTAGTCAATATAAAACAATAATAATAATAATAATAATAATAATAATAATAATAATAATAATAATCCGTATCGGGTAGAAACAGGTATCTACCTCAGTACAATGGGAGATGGTCGCGCGATTTTGTGGACTGGTTGAGGTTAGACATTAACACCGATGGATGCCAACCGGTTCAGTGGTCTGGAGGTTAAGCGTTCGCATGCGAGACCGAAGGGTTCGAATCCCGCCGGCGGGACCGCCGATACGCACTGCTGAGCAGTCCAAAAGTAGAACGAAACGACCGTCCAGTGCTTCCAGGTTTTCAATGGCGGTTTAACATCAATCGGTTCATGATCTCAATCAAAAACTCAATGGTCTCCACGACCCCATACTGATAATAATAATAATAATACATTTGATAAATACATGGGCACGCGTATACAGCCATTATCAGGGAAGTCCCACTCACTGCCTTATCACAACAAGGATGTTGTTTACGAAATTGAGAGGACGAAAAGTGAATGTTCGTAGTTTCGATCTGGTTGGTGGATATCAAGGATCCATCTAGAGGAGTTGAAAAATCCTGATTCAAATCCAACGGTGCAAATGGGCTCCTGGATCCTGAAGGAACAAATATCGTATGGACCTATTTTCGATCATTTGCTACCATGAGAATGCATCTCCTGACGTTGCTCCACTTCCTTCTGGATTGAATCTCAATGTCAAAGGCTCAGGTAGGGCTCTCTAAGAAAACCACCTGCTTCGGTTTAGCACTCGGACAGTATCCCAACCCTCGCACAAATCGAATGTGTGGCGCGTGTAAATTCGGTGCGTCCTTGCACCAATGTTTGTGTTTAAATAAAGAAATAAATAAAAGTATTCGGGCTTGATGCACACATAATGTGAGTAGCCGTGATATCATAGGCTCTCAATACCAATGTATACAAGCCGAAGATTGAGCTACCAAGTCAAATACTGCAACAACTATATCGTGGGTTTAATGCTCGTTAGCGACTTGATCCAATTGGAATCATCACATCCCAACATTGATACTAATGTTTATACACTAATATGTTAGTTAAAGCTTAAATGGAAAACGGACCGTAAATGAAATACCTATAATTTGGAATTAAAGTAGTGAAACGCATCGTAATTGTAATTTTTATTTCTTAACTATCAAGCTTTGAAATTCAGTCTTTAGATAGTCTGAGAACATCTAATGGATTTCTTTAAACTCACGTTGTATACTCTTGAGGATATAACATAGTTTAATCCGTCGGCTAACCACAACTTCATCTTTATTTTGTTTCGGCTATTCCTACCTGAAAGCATTGGCGGCTTATCGCTCTATGACAAGAAACTTTGTGAACCCAAAGTATTGATATTGACTATAAAACTATTCTAATGAAATACAAATACTTTAAGTATGACTAAATAACCTTACTTTTAGCTTCTGGCGGTGCCAGACCATACATATCAACACACTTATTTGAATGAAGTATGTCCAAAGCAATAGGTTCCAGATTGACAGCTTTTGCTCGACCTGCGAGCGTGCGTGGACCCTTAGATTTGAAGGGATCTGTCTAACAAAGTTCTATTAAAGTTCAAAATCTCATAAACTTCCCAAAAGCTTAATATCTTCAGTTGTTTTGCATTTCATTAACTGTTGCGATAATTCATTCGTTAGTAATCCACTCTTATCAAAAAACTGGAGTGATTTCTCGATTTTATCAACAAGCATTCTACAAGCATCTACACTAAGAAAACTACTGTCACAGTTACTTGCAGTCATTCATTTTTTCCTTCAGTCTATGCAACACTGTTGGTTCTGCGCCTCCAGTTACTTCTTTTCGATAACGTGCAATAAATGGCACAGTATAACCATTTTCAAACATTGGAATCACACGACTGACTAGATTCCGATCAATATTTGCAGCTTCAGCCACTTGGGTAGTTAAATCAATTTCCATTCTTATAGGGTTGACCATCTTAAGTCAGATAAAAATGAAACAGATTTGAAATAAATTAAATATCACTCAAAACATCAAGCTAAAAGCACACTGAAACGAATAGTCAGGTAAGTTTAGTGTTGAATGTGGAGTGATGCTTAACAAAAACTTCAGGAAAGAAATCAACGAATGAGTATAGAGAACAAGGTAATTTACTCTGTAGAGCTAAATAGCACTAATTGTTGGCTACTCGAAATTAATGTAATTATTCTACACTAGTCCGAACATGTTGATTTACATAACCGTACACTCTGATCGAACATTGGACTATTGGATTTACAATCAAATCCTATTCCCTAAATTATGTTTAATTATGTGATTAACTTTAATCCCTTATATGTATATCTTTACAATGCCTTTGTTTTTTTAGTCTATCGAACTGTTAGTCCTATTCTATCGTTTTACCAATTGATTAAAATTTAAAACACATCATTGAAGACTTTGGATATATTTCTATTCAATTCAGGATGGACATATACAATGCAACTCCGGGTGATTCTACGATTGCACGAAATTTTGTGCAAGTGAAATTCTAATTTCTGTGTTAAGCCAGTACTATTGCTACTTCAGTCTACTGTGGCGTCCACTCACTACTATTTTGATTCAATTTTATTTTTATGTATACGCCAACTGTCCTAAGAAACCTAAATATGCTCTCAGTAATATTGTGATCCGAATTCCCAATCTAATTGGTATAGGCTATAGTGAGTAATAATACTAATACAAAAACGATACACAAAGTATAATCAGATTAATGAGATTGCGTGGACAACTTGAAAAAGGTACCAAGTAACAACTTTCTAACGAATAACTCCGAAGTAACTCTATTTACAGAAAATTTAGGAAGATTTAAATCCGTCAGTTTTGTGTGTTATCTTCACATGAAGATGAGGTCGAACAAAATCGGAGGAGCCAGACCCATTCGACAATGCAGTGATGTAGTGTACACGAGTTCGAACACAATGGATTATGGTGGGAAAAACGACTGATTTCCAATGCTATTTTATTCTGAAGTAAACACACTTATATGTTTTGAGATCCCTTATATAACCACTTAGGCCTGGTAAAGAATCAAGGGAACTAGTCTGTACTTATATAGATGTAACTTTTCAAGACACATGTCGACAACAACCTGTCCTATAGGACTGAGAAATCACTTATAAAAACCAAGGTATTCTTCAATTGTGGGAAAATGCTGTATATCATGGGCCTTATTACAGTCCAGTAGTATCGTAATGCAAGTTCGAGAACTCATGACTAGCTTATCTAACAATTAGCAAGCAATTCAACCTAAATTTATGCGAAAAGCAGACAATTCGGCGATCACTAAGGCGTGAATTGATATATATCGCAACATATCAGTCAGTAACAACGTAGAACTTCGTACGTACGTACATCAGTTCGAGTTGCCACACCACATTAGAACAGAGATGCAGTTGTCAATTCAAACCCCGTAGTGGTAGAGGTGGTAAGATTATAAGCATTAATCGGAAGGATTAGGGTTTGTAGATGTTATCCAAGGAGTATAATCCAGTGAAATAAATTCGGAAAGAGAAAAAAGTAGACATTTAGGCGAATTCGCCCGAGAGTGAGAGAAGGCGACTTTTAGTTGCAGTACAACCTGAATCGACACCGAGTTTCATTAGGTAATGTCCGCTTTATCTCCCTGTTCTTGCTAAATTGGCTAATACGCCGTGCCAATTGGCCGCTTTTAAAAGCGGTCATGTGAAGCTAACGAAATTAGCTTTTTTCCACCCTTCCTTGACTTTTAGACATTTTTGGTGCCAGACTTCTGAACATTGGGGAAAACACTCATTCAGAATCAAGAGGTGCTATATAGCCAGAACACAAGTTGTAAAATTTCCTGGGGCACAACAACCCCAACGACCCTGAGAGCCCAATTTGACCTTTCCAAGGATCAATATCCTAGTGACAAGCTAGCGTAAAGAAATTAATTTTTGAGCTCGAATCTTTCGTAGAGTGTGATGAATCCTTTATTGTCATTTGACCGCATTATTCCTAGTGAACATTTAGTTGTGGTATTATTCTCACACCAGTAAATTTTCAGTTTCAGTTTGGAAAGGACTGCATACAAAGCCAAAAAGGTTTTAACATTGACATGGCTAAACGCCCTACGTATTAACCTTTGGTGGCCATCGTCTGGCAGTGTGCAGTAGCTTTTTATGTCTTGGCTGTCGATGACTCTTAAATCGTTGTGTGTCTGGACACAGGTAGCTCAGCGTTATTCATCGTATATGTATCTGTACCTTGACGATCAGTATGCATCACGATGCGCTTGAGAGTATTTATCGTCAACTGCCAAGTTTGAGACCCTTCAGGTAATTTCTCCAGGTCATTTTGAAGCTCTAAGCTCTAATCGCTCTCCATATCTTGACATAATCAGCATATAATTTCTTTAGTAACTAAGGCTGCATTTCATCAGGTCCCGATGATTTGCTCATATCAAAATTATTTGCCAGACCAAAGGCCTGATTTACCTTATGTCTTGGAAAGCGGTCAACCGAACAAATCAGTAGCTTTTCTCCCTTGCATTTCAAGCGGTAACTAACTGATCCAAACGTCATGCTCTTGTGGGATACACTGTCAATAATGGCAAATGAGATAGTGTTCTAACGAATAGACCTACTCCCCCTCCTTTATGCCTCTGGACTTTTGCGACACCAACCAACATGAAGCTTTCTAAATCAAATTCCATACTGTCTAGAGACTACGCCAGCCTCGTTTCTGTGTCTACGATTACATCTGACTTCGTGGAGTCAATCTGTACACCTAGATTCTACCGCTTATTGAATAAGCATCGGACATTTGTGTAACTGATCCAAAATCTATCTAAATTGCTTTGTGTTTCACCTGCAGTGGCTTCAGCATCATTTTCCATCGAAACCTCAGGACCCGAAAATTTACAAATTTTAGGTTCTTTTCGCCAGCATTCAACCTACATTTCAGTTCTTTTCCGACTTCTTGTCTTTTTATGCGGTCTGCGAGCATCAAATCCTTACAGACCAAATATCTTGATCCCTTTAGTTTATTTCCATTCTGTAATATTAAGTCCTGTTCATTAGGAGATCTAAATACAGCTTGAAGCAGCCTGATTTTGTTTCAAGTTCATTTAGCCGCCTAGTTTATACATCTTCAGCAAGGTGACTCCGGAGATATCCTGATGCATTAGCTGATTTAGTAGCTGTTTTATCAACCCAATGTAATGCTTAAAACGAGTTTCAGGTTCCGAGCCTGAAAAGCATCTGCTACATTACCGGTCAAAATACTGACTGATTTCAGTGTAGAACTCATTAAACTAGTGTCCAGATGAATGGATTGATGACAAAAGTTGAGAAATGAGTAGATTAGTCTCAGTTACAGTTAGGGAAGGATTGGAGGTTCAATCGCATGTGTTAGTTCTGATAATGATGGCCTTTCATTTGATCCAACTCTATCTCTCTAGAACGCTTAGATGGGTGGGGCCTCAACCATTTGTTATGGTAAAGAATTCCGCTCACCCATCATTAGGCAGGGAGTTTTGTAGTCATTTGACAGGTAAATGACTCTGGTCCTTGGAAATTCCGTTTTGAAAGACAATGAAAATTGGGTTGTTTTGCATGCAAAACTAATTACAAGTGATTTAAGGAACTGCAATCAAGTCAACTCTAGCTCCTATATGTAACTGAGAAATATGCACAATTTAGTAACATCTCGTCTTGAGATTCCAGGAATCAACTTAGATGGTGTTCTATTAACTTGTTCTGACAGCTCTCTGCCTGTTTTAGATGACTATCTTCTTGCAATACTCAAATTTGAGACGGTGGAATAATACTTGAAAATTTATAAAGGTCTCAACATTTATGTGGCTAAAGAACCTATGTATTAGCCAGATGTTTCTGAAACCCTTAGCAGATATTGCACGGCAGTACACAGTAACTTTTATTCATTGTCAAAGACCCATTGATCACTATGTCTAAATAATGAAGGATTCAGCATCATTCACCGTGTATGTACCTGTACCTTGATGACCAACACACACCACAATGCACTTGGAAGCATTTGTCATCTTTATTCGCTATTTAGATCATTTCTTGTCATTCTGAACACCTAGTCTATTCCCTTTATTTTTTATTCCTTTCCACATCTTGATTTTTTCGGTATGTGACAAAAACAATGATGATATGAAACTAGGGCGATCGTTTACATGCACAGGAATAGATCTGGTATCCAAACTGAATCCTTCAGTAACCCTCTTAGAACAACTTTCAATCTTGACCACTTGGAACTGACCAATGCTTCTTGTTAGTATCTAACAAGACAACCTGTTTGTTCACATAGATAAGTTGTCCACAATATTGATATTATTTAATCTAGATAACAGCTTGATGCGTACAACTAAAGGGTATACAAACATTCTCAAGCTATTAATAAGTTTGAGGAACATGGATAACCTTTTCTAAAATATTACTGACTTTTCGAGAGAATCAGACATTTGTTTAGTTGATTAAATAGCTCCCTTCATATCTTCGTTAGTACCTCAACATCTGTGTCGATTAAACTTACAGATAATATTTCTCAGGATATTTTCGTGCCTATTAGATGATAGGACTTAAGACGGCATTCTGCTAATCACTTAGTAGTCTACCTTGGGTTACAAATAGACTAAAACAAATACTTAAAGGATCTGAGTTGAAGTTTGTGAGTTCCTTTGACAACTTAGGACGAATTTCATTGGGTCCTATAGATCTGCCTACATCGAGAATACTTGAAAACCAAAAAACTCGAGTTTTTCAATGGTTTGCATTTCCAGAATACGGATGGAAGGATTTACATGTGCTCGACGTAAGGATGTTTCTATGGTATATTCGGTGTCGGCCTGGTCCGAGGATAACTAAGTTTTATCTTGCCCATCTTCGATTAGTGATGTAACACTCATTAACATAGAATATCCGAATGTTTCTGTACATTTTTGTGCTTTG